CCCCCCAATTTTTGCACATGTCGAGGAGCGTGTCAGGCTACATTTCACTGTGTGTTATACTTGTTTAACTGTGCATGTGACAAATAAAGAACCTTGAACCTTCAAAATAAACTATATACAAACAAATTTCATAAATCGTGACTTAGCTGGACTCACAACACAGCAGAGAAACAGGAAACCACAACAAATCCTCAAGAAGCTGCATCTTTGTCAGCTACGGCACAAACAGGAACCCAGGTGAGGCCGAGCTCCAGGACATGGAGGAGGAGCAGGCAGACCAGGGTCAGGCAGCAGACAGGTGCTCGAAGAGGGAGGTGGATGCTGTGAGTGGAGCACAAACAGGGAGCAGCATGTTCTGCAATATTCACGCCACCCTTCCAAATGCTTTTGTGACACAGCACATGTGCAGACTCTGCTCCTGCTGCAGCACCTTACCTGCTTCTTTAAAGGAAAACTCCGGACCTGCCAGCCTCAGGCCCTCGGTGCACCAGCCAAACAGGATTTTTATTATTAAACTTACTATCATCAGTTTGCTAAACACAGTCAACACTAGTCACAGTGTCGGTGTAGTGGTCCTCGTACAGTATTTGGGTGGTGCAGTGGTTCACACTGCCGTTTACCTGGAAGACATTTGTGGGTTCAAACCTGCACATTCAGCACGCCCAGACGTGCCGTGCCGACATCGGCAACGTTAAAACATGTCAGCGGCGCACAAACAGAGCTATCGTCTGCCTGTGAATGTGACTTCAAGGCGGACACTAACAACTCCCATGTTATTTAACCCTTTAAGACCGACCATAGAACCAAGTCCGCCAGAGCGCATCTTATATTTGTACATGCTGTAGTGCCAATTTTGGGAGTATTTCAAGTTGCTATACAGCAATACAACTGTTATAGCCCAAATTTTAATAATATGTATGCATTAAGTCCATAGTGCTACATTAATTGCAAAAAAGTGCAATAAACTACAAAAAAATTGAAAGTCATTTTTGGTTTCAACATATATTTCTACTTGGAGAAATTTAAGAGGTTCATCCCTCAAAACTTTAAATACAAAAAAGTTGCAAAAAATATTTTACAACAACAGGAAATTTATTTTGAGTGTCTTCATAGTTTTATTTTTGAGATACAGCAATTTTTATATACTGCAGAAAAAAAAAAGAAAAACAATCCTATGATGCAAATTTGCAAAGAAAACAGCAGGTGCATCAAAATAAACAATTTCCAGCTGTACAATTCAAGTTCTAAGCTTCCCAGCAACTATTCAGAAAAGCATCAAGTCAAACATGACTTATGAAAACACCAGTATAGGTTTATAAGGTCTATAAGTAAAAAACAACAAAAAACAACCCACATTTTCCGCGAAAACGACGTCACTTCCGGTTTCGGGCAGGTAATGGCGGACATGCGATAGTTCGCGCTGACGTCTTTTTCAGTGTAGGAAGTGTTACGAACAGCTGATGGATCAGCAAAGCGTATTTCTGGAATATTATGTCTTCGTTGCTGCAAGCGCTTTTTATAGAATTTTTGCAAAACTATATGTGGAAGGAAACCGTGACCGAGGACAAGCTGATGGCATAAGATGTAAGTACAACTCCTCCAGTTTCATATGCAAAAAAAGAAAAATATTGCGCTAGCTTACGTGGTTGCAGTGCTACAGGGATTTAAAAATAGTTACGCAAAGCGGAGCGTGCTGCTCTGACTGGCTTTAAAGGGTTAACTGAGACAAAAAACCAATGCTGTACTCATGCAATGATTACTGTGTAACTACATTTCCCAGTAACGTCAATCCTTCTCATAGCTGTGCTGTGGAAGCTGCCATATTACCTCGCCATCTTGAGTACAGAGGCAAGGATGGACATGCTGTGTCACCGAATCGTGTTTTACGTATGTGTTGAGAACCCAGCAGAACAGTCTGAATACATGCTCATGCATGTGTGAGCGTCCACCGATGTTAGCACTGACAGCTAACAGCTGCAAACACAGCAGTAACACTAACACTGCTGCCATCTAGTGGTGAGATTTCACACCCTGTAACTTCAATAAGTGCCAGCAGCATCACAGCCGTGGAAAAAACAAAGAGACACATTTACACACAGTATTTTCATTAACACACGAACAGATCAGGATGGTACATAATGTTTGGTGTTCCACACGTTCCACATTATCTCCTGTGGATAAATCCTGAGCTCCACCGGAGCCTCAGACTTTTCTAACAGGTGAGTTCAGTCTTACAGAAAACCAGACTGGCTCATCTTCAGCCGACTCTCTCGACTATGGAGAGAAACACGTGGAAACCTGCGTCCACACGTTATCATTTTCACTGGGACAACAACTGCTCCCCCATCAGGTGTGTTCATATGACCCCACTATGAGCTCCAACCACTCATTTTAAAGTGACGACTGAATTTCAAGGAATTAAGATAAGTGTGAATATTATCTTTAGCTCTGGCACAATGACACCTCTTAATGTCAGTAGCTTAGCAGAGACACAAATCCAGCCACAGGGGTCACCAGCAGCAGTAACAGGCCAACCCCTGCAGGCCCCCC